TGGGCTCTACTCAATTTCGAAATCCTTTCGCAACCCGGAAATTTTGTTTTTGTCCTAAATTACATCTTCTAGATTGACGTGGTGTTGGAAAAAAAGCGAATTTGAAACATTTGAGAAAACTTGAACTGAACTCGAAAACTTGAAAACTGTGCGAAAAAAATAAAAGGGGAAAATTTTTAGAGGTAATCAATCCCGTATGAGGAATGAGCCCGGCATTCGAATTCCATTCAAAACCGTAGCGGCGTATTGAATGCGTATGTGGCCTATACAATGACTTCCGATAGTCAGCCGATGTACAAGTCAGTGCTTTTATCCTCCTAAACGAATCTGGTAGCAACTAGCCTACCCAGGAGGGATGGAAGGCTTGGTTGGCTTGGGCTGATATCGANTCGGGATTCGAACCTGTGACCATGCGTCTGATGTCAGCCAGTACTACCTCAGCTCTGTTCAAAAATCGTGCTTGACTGTACCTATCTGGTTGATATGTAGGTGATTTGATGTAGGTAACTTCCCTCGCAGCCATTGCTGCAGTAAAGACAAGAATGTGGGAGGAAGTGGTGGCCTTCTAATAACACCCATTATGTTGGATATCCGGCAAGGCCAATTAAACCTTCCATTTCGGTTATCTTGATGGTTAATTGGTACCAGAAGATAAAACAGGATCGTCTGGAAGAACGAAAGCACTGACTTGTGCATCGACTGGCCACCATAATTCATTGTATAGGCCAGATACGCATTCAATACGTCACTATGATCCTGAATGAGTGTTGAGTGCAGGGGGCATCCCAAGAAAAGCTTTGAGACCTCATCCTTCAATGAAGGGGAGCTCGAACCCTATGTACTATGATAATTTCTAAGGAACTTGAGCCTGGCCTGATCTCGGAAAGAAGAGCTCTTTTGGCTCCATGGAGGAGAAGTGTTTTTTCAGGTCAGGCTCAAAACCAGAGGGGCATTCTATCCTATATTTTCCATCTATCTATTTCCTCATCTATTTAGTCGTGTATCTATTTTTCAATTTACATCAAGGGCACGGTCTGACAATTTTCGACCATCATAAAGGTAATTGCTGTGAAAGGAAGAATGGTTTGTACGTCATGCCTCTGCCTCTAATTCACCAGATTTGCACAATATTTCGTCAAACACTCATCAAACCCTTTTAAAATTTTCTTGCTTTCAGCCATGGACAAATGAATTATGGGTGAAACAGTTATGGCATATTCGGCGAGTAATAGGTAATGAGCCTCAAGAACTGGCAAGTAGGCATCAATTCAAATTATCTATCGAATATAGACGTTTCCGTTTTACAATCGGCCATTTAGGAGCAGATCCCGTCACTCGCATCGACTGGAAGATTAGAGTTCAAGTGAGACGGAGTATTATGAAATTCCAGCCAACAGGATGGAGCTGGAGCGTATATGTGGCTCCTGGGAGTCGCCCTCACGAGACGGAGCGTTACTACTTCAGAGGAGGCAAGTAATCTCACGGATCTAACGAGACGATGGACCCTTTTCGTAAGAAATTCACTAAAAGTAAAGGATAACATTTATGGCGTCTGTCAATGCCGTCTGGTGGATGCGCCCCGCACTCGACTTTCATTTAGACTCGTAGCATCGATTTGAATGCCTGGACGAAGACTTGTCTTGGGGTGGACATTCGATCTACAGAGCTTTTTTCTCCCAGATAAGCCCGGTACCAATTAACCGACCCGGGAGTAATGAGTTGGGAAGAAAGTTTTAATTTTTTTAAAATTAGGATTCAACATGCAAACAATTCTTAACTCATCAGCAATGGCCATGAGCGCAATAAACAAATAAAAAATTAGCAATTAAAGAAAATACAAAACGAAATCAAGCCTAAAAAATCTGCAAGTAGATGAGCTAAAGAGGAGCTTTAGCAGCTGCCCAGATCGTCTATCAGAGGAGCGATTCTTAGAAAAAAACGAGGCCGGATGGGATGCTCGATTCTTTTGGACAACATTTTCCGACAGGCAGCAAAAAAAGGTCGGTTTCTAGCACTCAACTCGTTTCCACAGTCTCAGGGGAATAATGAGCAGCTGGCTAGCTTTTCAGTGCAGGGTGTTCACCCTCATACATTGTTCCTTTGTTGCACTTGATGAAGCAGCTAGACATCGCTTCCAACTTAATGACGACAATTTTGCACTGCGGACTAAGGGCAGTGATATAGTTTTGCGATAGAAAATAGACCAGCAGGTGAATTTAGCAAAGTACGGGAAGGAGGTCCTCAAAAAGGGCTCATTTATCACAAAGACAGCATGACATTGGGAATGTCCGGAGTTTAAAAGGTTTTGCAATGGGAGCCCAGTTGCTCTCCTTGAAATTACAGAGACCGGAGACAAGCATGAGTTATATATGTTATCGAAAAAATCCTCCCCACATGGACCCACCGGGTTGCTCACAAGGGGCTTTTCAAAAACCTGGAATCCTCCGAAAAATCACTATCTGGTCTACCCACTCATATAGCTCTCATGAATGAATCTAGTTAGCCTAATGAGCAAATGAGTAATTCGTAAGCGCCGTAGTTCTGGTACAAGACAGAATCTCCCAATCTTACCATAGCCCCTTCGCTGCTTATTTTTCAGAAGTAGTGAGGAGAGCCCATTACTTTAAACACTACGCAAGCAGTCTGGGAGACCACAGCCAGTGGAGCACCTCTGCATTGGCAAGTGAAACGTCAGCAGCTCAGTTGTCACTGTATGGTTCCAGAGTTTTGTTTCTGTGTGGACAGCAAGGGAGACTCAGATAGTTACAAGTTATCGACATGAAATGAAGACGGGAAAAACTGGAAGACTCCAGTGGGAGTAGTTGGATGAAGTGTAGGCGGCTTCACTTAAAATGGACTACTGAGAAAAGAGTCAAAAAGGGAAGAATGGACCACCTTCCTTGGACCTCCCAGCAACCACGGCGGCTAAGATGCCCAACAATCCTTAACTCATTGTCCAAACTGTTCCTGTCTAAAGTTTATTTAAATTTCAATGCACTCAATGGCCACTTTCAGAAGTTCTACAAACATAAAACAATTGCATATGGAAGGTCTTCAAAACTGACACGAATCCGAAGAGAATTGAATGAACGGCGTATCTTCGAAGTGACAAGCTACATATGTCATGAGATTGCAGATAGACAGATACAGATTCTCCGAATCAAAACTTAAGGGGAGAAAGCATCGTATGGAAGGATCGTCACTCGAAAAAAGCCCAATCTACGCAATCGAAGAAAGGCTTTGAAGAGTGGGACGACCCACTTGGTGTAGTTGCAGAACATCGGCTTGAGTTACGGTAGTTCTCGAATGCTCGTTCCCTCATCAACACAACTCAGCAATTGTTTGTAAAGGAAAGCCGAGTGAGCAAATGCCTTAAGTCCAGTGTTTAGCTTGGCTAACTGGTTTTTCAGTGACTTTTTTGAGGCGTGTTTATGAAACACCCATGAATGGAAGTTCTGGTAGCTCCAAGAGATCAGATTTTAGCTAAACACGCCAGGGAAGGGGTCACGGCAGAGCAAAACAAAAGGCAGTCCCATTATCATGGATATTCAAATAAATGTTGTTCAAAAATATGTAGTGACGTCGAACTTTAGAAAGTATTGTCATTGTCTGCTACGACAAGGAGCAGCAAAAGTGGGAGAAGCCATGAGGACCAGGCGATCCGATGGTATCCCTTTGGACGAGTTATTTTTGATCAGATTATCGATTGGAGCGCAATTTCGCAATTTTCAAAAAGCGCGCTCCTAACATTGATTCGATTCCGAACAACTCGTCCTTTGCGGTACATTCATTTGTTTTCCGTTGCAAAAAGGGCTCTATGTCCACTATTGTTATACGCTTCCGTTTCAATAAATAGCTTTGACCTTTTTCTCCAAATTAGAAATGAAATGAGAATGAGACTTCTAATTTTGGAGCAACCACTTCGGCAAGGCGTGACGTCGTTGCTCGGTCACTGACGTCAAATAGTTTCAAGAAAAGGCTTTCAATTACAATTTCAATTTTAGCTAAACATGAAAAACCATTGTGCTGCCATCCCTGAGGATTAGCCATCACCGGCTTAAAAACATCTGTGGGTGGACAACAAATGAACCTGCCTTTGTAAAAGCTATTATCCCAAAACTACTCCTATTACCAAATCCAGTATTGTATTTCGCAGTCTTCCCTAATCAGCCCGGCTACCCCCGAGTATAATTTGATCAAAGAGTCAAACGAACAGCATCAGTATAAATGATTTTCGAAAAGGGGCAGTTTTGAGTTTTGGGCTAAAGTTATGCGCTCTTTCACCACAACTACCGATCCCAACGGACTCAGCCCACTGATAATTCCGACACTCTGCCAATCACGGAAACACCTCCCCGTGGGACCATTGAGCAAGGTATAATATAGTTTTTTGAACTTTTCTCTTCAATTTCGAAAGCATAGTGCCCAGGCATTTCCTAGTTGAGCTTATCCCTCGGGCAGATGACTGAAGAGACAGGTAAAATTAATTTTACGGGACTATGAAAACGTCGTTTTGAAAAAAGAACGAGATGAGGGCCAAGTAGCGCACCATCACACACCCATGGTCACGGATTCGAATCCCGGATCAGCATGCGCTAAAGCCAACCAAGCCTTCCGTCCTCCAGGATCGGTTGGTTGGTGCCAGACTCGTTTGGGAGGATAAAAGCTCTGACTTGTACATTGGCTGGCTACCGCAACTCTTTGTTTAGGCCACATACGCATCAATACGCCACTACGCTTTTGAATGGAATTCGAATGCCGGGCGCACTCCAAAAAGTGGAACGAACAGTACCGGTAGATTTCACTTTCCATCTTTTAAGGGGAAATTCTTCCAAAGTCTTGAATCATCTCCTATCACCTTTTAGACTAATCGTTTCAATGAGAACTTTCAAGGCCGACTGGAAATGATGTAAACAAGATTAGTTTTATTCGTCCTACAAATACAAAATCAAAAGAAAAAATCAATTGGGAACAACAAAATCAGCTTTTTTGAAAAGGGGCTATTGATAAGGATCATGGGACGACTCCTCAAAGATTTCATCTTGCACTTCTTGTATTCGATCTGATGGTGTTTCTTGTATGAGGGGCTTTCTGTTAGGGGGAGTATACGGGTGAAAGATGATCCTACGACGTGGTTTTCGCATGGGGACGGGCTCAACGGGGGGTGCGTCACGTTGTTGCTGGTCCTCAAAGCGTTGTAGTAGAAGGGTACCAGTTGAGGGAGGATTAGGATCTGGAACAATATGACCCCTTCTTATGAAGATCGGGCGATGGATTACATAAACTAGACGACGTTTGGGGGCGTTAGATTTTTGTTTATTCAAAGTTCGATGTATGGGTGACGGAAGTATAATCGGTGATATGGGTGCTAATATGTCGTTCGGACTGAATCCAGGTGGTCCGTTTGATCGTTCAATCACTCGTTTGCTCTTATCGCCTTCTCTGAAACAAATATGGACTTCAAATCAATACATAAATGATGATACCGNATACCCAGAAAATTTATTTTTGAATATGCTGACTTACATCAGCAGCGCTTCTATATCACTCGCTAGTTTCCCTACATCAACTTCTGACTTGTCGACAGATATTTCCTGAGGAGCGATGTCGTTGGTAGTGTAAGCCACAGTAATGGAAGCTACTGCTATGAGAAACTGATGGAGCATTCTTGTGGACCTGAAAAAGAGGAGCTCATAGAAACAGCCAACCGAAAGGATTCAAAACACGGAAAGCTGTGCGAAATTGAGCATTCTGGAATGCGCCATGCACATGACTTTAGTTTAAAGTGCTCAAATTCTTAATTAGACAGGTCAGCAACTCCTTCAAAATCCAAAAACCCTCGAAGTCATCTTTTGAAAATTCCCCTACCGTACATCTAGTCTAACCATTCCCTTAACAACAGTCTTCTGAGCAACATGAACCGAACTGGCCTCTTTTTTTTCCAGAAAACCCAAGAGGTTATGGCAATGATGATATGATGATAAATCTCAATGCTGATACTTCTAAATGATTGATTTCTTCATTTGTATCCCTTGAGAAACAGTTAGAAAACCGTATTCAAGAAAAAATCGCTATCGAATTTTCTGTAGTTCGTCCAAGGGGGTGTTGCTAGTTCACTGGCAGTCCTGATTGACGTCAAGGACGTTCTGCTTTGCGTAGTGCAGTGAAAGAGAGCAGCTAGAGTGAAGTACGGAAACTTTTATCAAGACATACTCCCAAGACTCCAAAGACCTGACTAGCAACAAATGACTCAAAAATGGACTACGCCATCTAGCCGACTTTCACTGGCTGGGGAAGAATTGAGCTCCATGATGAGCTATGCTTCGACAAATATCATGGTTTGTGAGCAAAATCTTTGAAAACGCTTCTGCAAAGAGGGAGCTTGCTCACAAATCACTTACTTCTGCATAAAATTGACGGATTTCATGCCAAACCACTTAGCTTACAACTGTAACAGACGTGAGAAGCCGTCTTTCAGACAACAAACAGGAGCATCAGTTTTATCTGCTTTTCTGAGCAAACGGCTGTAAAATCTGAGAAAGATCGGCATTGAATCATGAAGGTAAATCAGTCGACTGATATTAGAAATTCAGTCAATCGAAATTAGATCGAAATTAGGAAAAATGGAAACCTGTTTTGCTAAAATTTCGCAAATGAATTAATTTGAAAACGGTATGACGGGGGTGTGGCAGTGCTAAATTGGTACCAGACTTGTCTGGGAGGGTGGAAGTGCCATTTTGTACATCACAGGGCCACTGGAAATCATTTCATGAGCCACGTACTCATTCAGAACCTCACCACGGTTTTGAATTTAAGTAGAGGACGAGGAACTTGACAAATGGGACACCCAATGTTGAACATTTTGACTATTCCGTAAAAGCAGCAGGCTTCTGTAACAATCAAGCTCATCAAGGAACAAACTCCTAGGGATTGTTGGGCTTATAGTGATTTAATCTGCAGTTTCTAGTGGTTCCTAAGAAAGGGTCAGAAGTAGAACTGCAAGAAGTTAATTTGAACATGGAAAGTGTGAAACCCATTTCGTTCTTTTCATTCGTATTTGTATCCGATGTGTGACCACTGATTTATTCGCTTAAGAGATCTACGTAATGAAGAACGCGTCAATGGCGTCCATAACTTTTACTACCATCATCAAAACAGTTTGAAAGTGTAAATCGAAAAGTGTGAAAGAAGGGATTCAACAAGTAAAAGTGGCGATTCAAATTACTTCGATCAATTACTTTTCTTTGTTTTCTTTTAGAGTTCCTGGTGATTCTACTGCTTCTTCATCTAAATTCTTTCAACATTACTCTTCTGTTCAGGTCGTTGTCACAGAAGGATTGATTCATGGCACAGGGGTAAAACTTAGTAAGTGAATAAGTTCTGGGCACCGTTCGGGAGTCGAATTCGAACAATTGGCAGCTTCATTTCAGAAATGGCAAAACTTTGATAAATACAAAATCTTCCAGCTTTTCAGATTGGAAGTTGAGATAAGCAGAGGATATGAGAAGCGATCAGTAGGCAGAAGAAGCTCTTCCTATCACTGGTCAATCTTCGATCCCAGCTTCAACTTATTCTTCAGCTCAACTTTGAGCAAACATCCAAGTATTCGTGTTAGAAGAAAACCTAGTTCCTGGAAAAGGTGGAAAGGCTATCACGACGTGATCTAGGTGATCTCCTGCAATCGAAATCGCGCGGGAGAACAACCGCGCACCATACGGGATTGCGAAGTCCATCCATCATTCGTGTTGTTGTCGCTTTAGGGTTATGACCCAAGCAGGATCGCGCATTCATTTTTGTTGTTCTTTTATATGATTTACTTTCTCTTCTTTATTGCTTTATGTGCATTCATCCTTATTGTTTCATACGCATTCACTTCTCATTCTTACGGTCTCATGCGCATTCACTTCTCATCCACGTTATCGTTGATTTATGTTTCACGCCTTATGTTACATCACGGTTTCCCAGAAGTCGTTGTGTTATTCGTTAACCGATGTTATTTGTTTTCGTTGCTCACGATGTTATTTGTTGCCGGATGTCATTAGTTCTATCGCACTCTCGTGCCGAACAGTGACATAAAGGTTTAATTACCTAAGTTTGAGGACTTTCGCACTGAGTGGTCAGTAGACCAAGTATATCTGTCATCTCACAAAGGCGACGTTAGATGGATCGGGTTCAGGCTTCTGATAGTCTCCATCCGCCTAGAGGGAAACGGAATCTTATTTCAGCTTGCTGTCTCACTACTGCAACTTTCAGGTTCCGATGTTTCAGGACTTCATGGTACAGCAGTCTAAATCGTGGATCCTGGTTTGATCGCCCGATTATAGTGCAAGTCAGTGAAGAATCCGCCTAGTGGGCTTGCTTGACACATCATTTCAACGCGCCGTTTACTCGTGTTTTTCTTGGCAGCCTATTGCCTGACTTACTGTATTACATATTCCGCTGGCTGCAAAATCTGTCCTGTCCAGTCATTTGTATTTGCAATTGCACACGGGTTCAGCAGTGGCCGAAAACTGGTTCGAACCCTATCCTCTGTCGGTGTCGTCTCGTGCAGTAATGGCTGCTGAGTGCTCATTTTTCAAAAATGTCACTTTTTCACTAATGGTTCCAGGTAATCAGAAAATTACTTAATTGCGATCAGCTGTTCGGACATAGCCCTTTGATGGCCAGTACATAAATCATGAGCATAGAAATATCAGAACAGGCAGAAGATAAAACATTATTTTCAGGCGGAACCTTGTACACAGTGAAATCAAAAATGGTTCAAAGAGACAGTTCGAGGGTAAGTTTCACATCAGTCAGGCTCTGTAGAAGAGAACCCGACAGGGGGCTATGCAGTGACCGATCTATCTATTCGAAAAAACGGTTGGAAGCTTGCTTTTACCATTAGGCCCATGCACAACACTCGGAACTTGGAGCATTGCTCTCTACTATCTCTTCAACATTCCAGCGAACAATCACCTTCTTCTCAAGGAATGAACGCCACCCTCTGTTGACGTAGACGGAGTAGCCAGACTAAACCTGACCTTGTCCTTGAACTGCTGATTCGATGACTGATCATAGACGCTTGTCTTCTCTCGCTCACAGCCCTCCGTCCTTTCGTTTTTGTTACAAGACCCTTAACTCGAACTAAGGATTCCTCTTCGTGACTGGTACATCTCATCAAACCTATTGGACGAAGGGGCTGAGATTCAAGTATTTTCTTATGTTTTCCATATTCTAGGCGTAGTGAACCAATTTAAGCCTAACACTTCACTTTCAAACCCCATACGCTAATAATTTATTGCCAAGGAATACGCCTTCAAACATTCGAATGTGTATGTAGAAACCATTCAAATCGGAAAATTCGGACTTCCAAAAACATAAAAAACAGTAAAGTAAGATCTACTAAATACGCCATGCATTGGAGAAACCTCCTGTCAATTGCCTGCACTCGAAAAATCTTCAGCTCTCATAGAATGTCTTTCAAGTCTGTACAGTTTCCTTTCCCTTTTGATATGGTTCGAGTACTAGGCAACGGAAAGCAGATGTAATCTCATTCTATCTTGCCTGGAAGTTATTGACGATCCAACCTAATATTAACAATTTATTGTTTCCGATGTCAACAGAAAAAAATCTCAAAATTCGCTAAAGTAGGCGGGGTGAGAATTCGGTTGGACCGGAAGGAGGGGCTCTTCCTTTTTCAACGCTATACTGTGGAGCACAGGGAAGAAGGGGTAGCCTTCTTTGCGAGCCAAGAAGGATGCTCTTGATCAGGAGACAGGAATGCATGTCAGTACCTTATTTCACTCTTTAAAAAGAAACCAAGTGGTGGTCAACTGAATGTTCAGCTTTTCCCCATCCTAGGTTTTTGCGCGAAGTAGTCATTTTACCAACACAGATGCACCTTCTCGTTTGTGGCTCTGCCAAAACCATATTCTGTC